AGCAATCTGGACCTTTTTTTTTTCCCCTTGTCCACTGAAACAAGGCCCTAGATGAAAATCCCAAACTCCCGGCTTGATTTGTACCGCTGGCTGAATGAGGATTGTCCTCGGCAAGGTGGTGGGGCAGGGTTTATTCCGCAGGGCTGTGGTTTGAGGGGCTGGGTGAGCTTGTTCTTGCCCTCTGCACAGAGTAAATTCCTTCCAATAAGAAGTAGGTGACTGAAGGGCTGGGAGCTTCAAGGAAGAAAGGATAAAATTGTGGCTATTGCAGCAAATTAGTTGGTGGCCTTTGAACTATGAGAGAATGGCCAGCTAGGGAGGAAGGGGAGAGGGGTCTCCGGGGAATTGGGGCACTGTTTGCAGTGATCGTAAATTAATCCCCTTTCCTGACACCCCTCACTGCCTCTCCCCAGAATTAAATTGACAGAGGGATAGAAAAAGAATCAGCAGATTTTCGTGCTTTGAGCCAAGTCCTCCTGCAGGTGCTTACAGGGAAGTTGGAAAATTCCCTTGGCATGGAAATTGCGAGAGGAACTGGGGCATGTGCAGTGCTGAGGGTGTGCTTGGTGGCTGTGCTGCACGACAGCCCCAAATGGTAATGGGAGCTCAAATCTCTCCTGGGACGGACTGGGCAACGTTTGCTCCAGCATCACTAACCTTTTAGGGCTGTTAGGGTGTTTGACACAGCTGTGTGTGTGTGTGTGTGTCCGTGTGTCCATGCACATGTGTGCGCTCTGTGTAGTTGTTGCCACCAGAGATGGAGTAGTTTTTATTACTAACATGAATGTGTAAATGCATCTTTACAGTCAAGGCAGTGCAAACACTGCTAGGCAAACTAGCAAAAAAGTTTTGTCCAGCTTCATATTTTAAGCGAACTGTTTATGCTGTCTTTTCTGTTGCTAAAAAAAAAATCTAAGTCTAATTTTGACCAGCATTTGAGAAGCTGACATGTCTGAGATTTTTATTTTTAAATGATTAGTTTATAGTTACTTAAAATGATTATAAATTAATTTTGTCAAAATGTGAAAGAAAAGTTAGAATAACCAGCATATCAAGTAACTACTTACTTGGGTTTTCTTTTTAGTCTACATAGCTCTTCAACCTGTAACTTTTCTGTGTGCGACAGTAGTGAATATATATACCCGCAACGCGTATGATACACAATCTTGTGTGTTTACATGTTCATGCAAATCATTAGTGCAAAAAATGCACTGTTTTGGCAGTAAATGTATATATTCGTAATATTTTTTAACCAGATTTCTTAGATGAAAAGCCAGGCTGTGCTGAACTAACAGTAGTGAATATATACACCCGCAACGCGTATGACACAGTCTTGTGCGTTTACATGTTCATACAAATCATTAGTGCAAAAAATGCAGTGTTTTGGCAGTAAATGTATATATTTGTAATATTTTTAACGAGGTTTCATAGATGAAAAGCCAGGCTGTGCTGAACTGAAGGCTGCTTGAACAAGAGGATGCGGCTGTGAGATTTTAAACTTTGAGGAGGTTGCGGGAGGAAGAAATCATGCAAAGAAATGTTAGAGCAAATGCCCTATTTCCTAATAATTAGTATTCACAAAGAAAAAAAAAACGTCTAACTACCTAGTAATTTCCAAATTGCTGAGACACCTAATGAGTTGCCTTAGATAAGATTACCAGACACATGGAAGGAGCTAATTACTGAGCATTTAATTCTGGGATCCGCACTCGGTGCGAAGCGGTTGTGCAGCTTCCGTGCGTGTTGGCTTGGGGGGAGCTATTATGGGGGCTCAAGCAGATTTTGTGATCCTAGAGGATACTAGGAACAAAACAGGGGCTGCTTCCCCTGTGTAACCACTGGCTCATTCTGTAAAACCTTAACGCATGGGAATAATCCCTCTGGATCAGCGCGAAGGGTTGTGGGGTCCAGAGCACGTGAGATGCCATGATGCTGAGGGAACAAGAGTAAAGACGACCAAGGCCTTGCCAAATCCACCCTTGCTGCTCTCAGTCCCTGCTCTTCCTTGGGGATTTTGTGCAGGAGGCTCTGCCGGTTGCTCGGGGGAGGACTCTGCACTGTTTCCCTGGGAGAACTTGCCAGGACAGAGAGAGATTTCTCCTGGCCCTGGCTTGGATTGCAGCAATTTCAGGCCAAATGCATCAGTACCTGCTGGTTTGTGTTTGCCTCTTGGTGACATCATCTACCCAACGGTTAAATTTAGCTGCCTGCGCTGAGCACTGCAGCCAGGTGAGCAACCGATGCCAACAGCAGTGACCACTCTTATTTAAAATGTTTCACGTAAGGTCCACGAGTTCCAGTTTCTGCTTTCAGCTAGAAACACGTTAGAACCTATATTCTGTGATGCCTGTCATTATGTGATACTCGAATCATTACTTACTGTGTGAGTTAAACCTTCGTTTTCAGGCAGCGTGAAGACTCCGCAACAGTCCTTCCCTTAAGTATCAGAAAACAGGAAAAAACGTTCACCTCCATTGCAATGTTTTCTTGACTGTCCCTGCTTGATGCCAGTCTTGAAGCTTGCACCAAGCAGGACATCACCGTGCGGCGTCTCTTCTGCTTCTGTGAAGCACTTTTAATGCTCCATAGCACTGATATTTCTAGGAAAGGAGGCCTCATTCCTTCTTCCTTGCTCTTGGATCTCATGTGATTTCTTTCATGTCTCCTTTGGTAATAGCCTGTCTTGGCCAGCTGGATTCTTCCCTACTCTTTCTTGTTCGTTAGATGTCCGTGTTTTCCTTTTTGAAGGTATCTCTTGATCTTTCTTTTGACAACAAATGATGCCCCTTTTTCATGAGCTCATGGACTGCTGTGGATGTGCTACCAACCTGAGTATATTCCTTTGTTCTTATTTTTAAAAACAAATGAGAAGGGATATTGTTAAGGATACTTGAGAACTTTTTATTCTAACACTCAACTATATGCTTTTTTGTTTGGAAATATTTCATTTCCTCAAATACCCAACTTTTGCTCAGCTTTTTCAGATCAAAAAGGATGGATGTTCCTGGCTGAGGAATGCCAGGCAAGCAGAAGGAGCTGCTGTGTGTCGCATTTGCTTGCACTCTGCAGATAGGAAACACAGGGGAGAGCAGAACTATTTTTTTAACTTATGAACACAGCTAAGAGCTAATAATTTTTGGTTACAGGGAATGCAGTGCTATAAAAGTATTTTTAAAAATGACTTGAGCCTTCTCATTGATAGCAGAAGTCGGTCTCCGTTCTCACCTAGCAGAATAGGGGTGTGCAGGGAAATAAGGGGGCACCTTGTGCCCTGAGCAGGGGCAGTGCTTCAGGCTTGGGGCTATTTGCTCGTTCCCTGCAGCGACGCTGTGGCCTCCTCTTCTGGCGGTGGTTTTTGGTGCGCTGCATTAGCGCTGTGTTCAGCATCAAGGCAGCACCTCTGTGCTCTTTGGGACCTTTGCTTTGCCTTGCGGGAGGTGAAACTGTCTTGGGAAGCCCAAAGCCTGTAGAGAAGGCTGCAAATCCAAAGCAGGGGCTCGGAGGAAGAGCAGGAGAGCAGCAGGCAGGGGTGAGGACACGACGGGACTAGACTGATTTTTTTTTTTTTTTTTCCCCAGAAATGCCCCTTCCTATTCCCGGCTCCGGTATTACTCGGGCTCCAGCCAGCCATTCACACTAATGAGCTGCCTCGAGGCTGCTACCACTTCTGCCACTTTGGCATTTCGGAGCACTCGGATTTCCAAACCGAGCTGCCTGTTATTGTGGAGACATTTTCAGGCTCCGAGCTGGCTGTAATGTGTTTGTACGAGCACAGACGCCCGGGCGTCCCCGTTCAGGGGCATGTGTGCGTTATTAAGCAGGGCGAGAGCCGCATGTGCTCGGCGTCTCCGTGTTCCCGGGCAGAGATGCGCTCCGAACGCGCTTGGCCGCTGTGCCTGCGGGAGCAGGATGCCGCCGGGCAGGCACTGCTGCCCTGTTGTCTTGCCTAATGCACAAGGCAGAAGCTTTCTCTCTGGTCAGGGCCCGGCTTTGGAAGCGCCTTCTGTCTTGTGAGGGACTCTGCAGCCCCTTAGATCTTTTGAAAAGAGCCTGCGTGTCATCCGCCTTATTGGAGCTCCTAATGGATTGGAACTGTAATCCTGCAAGCTACGTGGCAGGTTATGGCCGCACAGAGAGCGATTCGGTTCTGTGTATTTATGGCAGCTGGAAAAGATTTTATTTGCAACCTCACTGAAGTCTTTGATTTTTTTTTTTTTCCCTTCTGACACCATCACAGCTGGAGGCTGGTACTTTATTTTGCCCTTTCTTGTAGCAAGCGGGACAACCAGCCTGTCCACTGTCCGCTGTGTGTGCGTGTGTGCGCCCAAGGAGCGGAGCTCCCTGTGCCCACCGGGGCACGGAAGCACCTCGGGCATCGGCACAGGCTCAGCACTTGCCTTGCAGCAGCCTCACGTGTGAAACCACATCAGGGAGCAAGAGGCAGCGATGAGGAACTTCTGTGCTGTAGCTGCTGAATGAACAGACCCGTCTCTGCTTTAGCTGAAATACATTTTTCCTTGCCATTATTATGATTGCCTGCAACCTCAGGGTTTTTATCAATGCTGCGCTATACTGACTGATGAGAGGAATGAATTGAATAGTTAATATTGAGTTGACATAAGTAAATTGAAAGAATTTCATTTGAAATAAGTTGAATATTTAATAAATTGATAAAGGACTTGAAAGATGAATTCACAGCAATGCAAGGTAGAATGACTGTGAAATATATCTAGCAAAGCCTTTTTCCTTCAAATGGCCAAATCAGATGTGCACTTTGAGCTCGTGGCTTATATTCCCACTTTGCCAGGTCGCTCCGTCTCCCAGATGCTTGTGAGCTGAGATGGTTTAGCATTTAGCATGATAACTGCTCCTGGAATAGTACGTGCCGAGTGAACCTAATCTTGGTGCAAAAATCTGCGTAGTTTCAGTTCCCAGAAGTCTGAAGAAGGACTTTTGAGTCCCATTTTTTTAAGTAAGGTCACTACTGCCAGGAGTCCAGCATGGCCACCAACGCATCGGGACTGTTGAACGTAGGATCCAGGAGCCAAGATGACATTGGGACCGTGGGATCTCTCACAAGAGTAGACGTGTGCCTGCTCGTAAGTCCGTCCCCACACTCAGTGCAGGTTGCGGCAGAGTCAAGGAAAGGAAACCTTGATCTTGGCCTTGAACCCTGCTCTGAGCAGCCGGGGACACTCGGGCTCCTTGTCCCATGCCGTGACGTGCAGAGAAAGGCTCGTGCAGGTGGGACAGCGCCAGTCTGTATCAGCACGGTATTGAATGGTATCATATAGTACCGGAGAGCAGCCTGGGGCGCCCCTGCGCACGCGGCTCCTTGGGCTGAGGCTGCCTTCCTCTGACAGCACCAAATAGGTCAGTGCTCAAACACGCAGCCCTGCAAGCCAGGGCCCTGCAGCCAGCAGGGGTATCTGTTTCTGTGAAGCTGCCTTATGGAGCTGCAATCAGATCCAGAGGATTTGAAAATGTACATATGTATACATGGGTATGAGCCTGTGCACCTAGGGGTGTTTTGCACTATTTCACCCCGCACTCATGACTTCCACAGTCAGCCTCCATGTGTGATGTTGGTGTCCATCCCCGGTGTGATAGGTTCTGCGTTTTGTTCTCAGACACCTTCCAGGGCGTAGAAAACAAAGAGGAAAAGCACGTGGTGGGAGAGCACATGGTGATGAGCAGCGTCTGCTCCTTTGGGCGCCAGCGAGCCGCTCGGCCCCAGGCTCCGGGCACGCCGGGTTGTGGTTTGCTCCTCCTGCCGCGTGTCCTGGAAGAAGCCAGTTCCTACTGCCGTATATTGCATGTGTTTAGTAGCATGCTTTTTAATTTATTATTTGGAGACTCTGACTCCTTCTTTCCTCCCTGCTTTCTGCTGCAGTTGAACCACTGCAGTAATAGAAGTGACCATCAGCAGCTCCCTTTTGCTTTTTAAAAGTATTTAAAGGTTGTATAACTGCTTGCTTGGCACTTGCGCTGTCTTTGTAGCCCCCTTTTTTTATCCACTCTGCTTGGAGCAGTGGAAGCTCTGGAACGGAGGATGGACTGTAACCTTAGGACTAGAATATTTAACCTTAGGACTAGAATATTTGACCATACAGGGTAAATCTCCCTTTTCTGGACGTCTCTTGTCTGCTCTCGATTCTTCACCTTGGAGCACTGAGTTTGGGCGCTCCTCACATTTGGTGAGGGAAGAAATGCTGCTCTCGCACCTCTGTTAGCACCCTGTTTTGCAGCTGAAGGCTGAATATTGCACTAAGGTGGGGAAGAGAAACACCAGGTAGGCAGTGAGCGCCCGAGGGGACGCGTCCTGGGCGCCTGTTGCGGCGGCACGTGCGCCGCACGGCGGGGACGGCTGCTGCTCTGTGTTCAGGGGGTTCCTCACGTTTCGCCTCTGCTGCTACCAGCTTCCCCTCGTTCTGCTGCGAGACCTGTGGTTGTTTAACTCTTTTTTTTTTTTTTTTTTTAATGCACCTGCTTCAATCACTAATGATGGAATAATCTTGGCTCTCCTTTCTCTGAAGGAAGCTGCCAGCCTGCTGGACTGAGGCAGTGTGCTGTGAAATGAGAGAAAACTCAAAAGGAAGGCAAACAAAAGGCCTAGATTGTATTATTTGGATCATATATTTCTAATCTGGTCTCACAGTATGGGAGCTGGCCATGCCATATAATAATCTTTGGCTTCCCACTGGAACTCATTTGGGAGCAGCCGTGCAGGATGGAGACATTGGGAGCTCTGTGAGAGGAGAGGAGGCACTGCAAAACTCGGGTGCTGCCGGTGGCCTAGGGGGACCCGGACAAGCGATCACATTGTGACAACATCTCGTTTCCTCTCTGATCACCTGTTTCATTTGGCTTCCGCTCGAACGTGCTGTTTCCATTGCATCTCCTCGTACGGCCTTTGTGTTGCCCTCTCGAGTGGTTTTTCATGGCGTGACTGGGGCTGCTGTGTCTGCAGCAGGCCGGGAGGTGCTTACACAACCGCGCTGCATCTCCCGGGCAGGCTGTGTAATACCCTGAGCAAATGTGATGTGCCCTGGCCTGCGACAAAGACGTGATCTTGGGTCTAAGGTTGTCAGGCACAATTTAAATACTGTAAGAGATTGCTGTGCAGTGCCTGCAGCTGAGTTTTGTAGGCCCATGCCAGTGAGGAATTGAAGAGACGCTTCGAAAGTAGCGAGAGACTTCTTTTTCTTGCGACTTTGGCTTTGAATAAATGTATCTAATCTGTAAAGTCAGATTATTTCTCTGCTAAATTCTGCAGAATTTTCTGCTAGACACAGACTATAAAACATACTCAAAGAAATTAGTGAGCAGATATTTAATGACTCCGACGAGGGTGGTGGTGAATGTTTTGTTTGTTATATTGTGTTTTTTAGTGACGTGAATTTGTTTTCAGGGCTCAGCAGATTCATACACAAGCAGGCCCTCGGACTCTGATGTCTCTTTGGAAGAAGACAGGGAAGCAATCCGCCAAGAGAGAGAACAGCAAGCAGCTATACAGCTTGAAAGAGCAAAGGTGTGTACTGCTTTTCAGCTGTAATAATAAACAATTTACATAGCATTTAACACTTGCATAGTGTTAAAATTCACTTCTGGTTTGTAATGATGGTAATATCTCTTGCAACAGTTTGGGAATCGGGTGAAATTTTCTGCAAACAAGATCTTTGAGGGTAGTGCAAATATGCCCAGAGACGAGCCACTATCTAAAACAAATTCTGTTATTGAAGCTCTGATGAAACTAGTAGGATCTCATTATATAAATGAGGGCAGAACTGTTCCCTTGCATGGGACAGGGAGTGGAAAAGAAGAGGTTTCTACTACAGTGGTATTGCTAGACTGCTCGGAATCCGGGTTCCCTCAAGGTGCTTGCTCTGCAAATGGGCAGGCAAGGGGCTGGGTGGCGTTTGCAGCGCTGCTGTGTGCTAAAGGGATGTGTCATCTGTGCTGATGCTTTCTCCCCTGGTGAAAGATGGGGCCTTTGGTGCTTTGTTTTGGTCTCAGCAGGATGTCTGAGCCGACTCAGCCCCCTGAAGAATTTGGCTGCCGGTTTCCAGTTTTGTTCCCGCAGTGTCAGGTGTGCCGATACCGGTCCAAAGCGCTGCCCTTTAGTTTAGGTCATCTGTAGTAAAAGCCGAACCCTGCTCCTTGTATGAAATTGTTACAACTCAACTGGCATGTTTGGCAAGTGTCCTCTCCTAGATCCTGAGTAATTTAATGCAACAAATTATTTCTTCATTCTGAAAAATAAAATACACCACTTTGATGCCATGTTTGTGATGTCTGTTTCTATTTATAGTCCAAACCAGTAGCATTTGCTGTTAAGACCAATGTGAGTTACTGTGGAGCACTGGATGAAGATGTTCCTGTCCCAAGCACTGCTATCTCTTTTGATGCCAAGGATTTTCTACATATTAAGGAGGTAAAAACAGGAAGTAGTTTTTCCCTTTTTCTTTGCCAGGAGCTACAATTTGAGCAGTCAAGTCTGGGAAATAGCAGATAAAAAAGAGCTGAGTGGAAGCAGCCAAGCAGAGCACATCTGCCTGATTAGTAATGCTGTGGTGGTACGTCATCCTTGTTAGCGTGCCAGCACCCTGGGCCTTTTATCTTGTTATTGAATATTACCCTTTATTGTTGGATTTGTGTGGAAGGAAATTCCATCTTGCTAGATTTTAAATCCCCTTCACCATGGTAGATGCAAATTTTTTCATTAAATCATATTTGTGATGGATCTGAGACTAGACAGGAGGAAGGGATTGACCAGAATGTGGCGTAACACCAGTTTAGACCATGTCTGCATAAAGCACCAGATAGCCCTGTAAGGTAGAAAATGAGGCTGAGAATAATGCAAGAAGAAAAGAAAATATTGAAGAGGCCCTAGGACAAAAAAGATACAAAATTAGGGAAAAAGGAATGTGAGCCCTGAGTGTGAAGCTAAGGTTTGATAGAGAAATATTCATTTTATTGCATGTCAAGCATATTTACTTCAATTGTAATTGAAGAAAATTGTAATCTGTCTAAAATGAGCTCTCCAAATTTGCATAATCCCCTGTTGTTTCGTAGGTTTATATATAGACTCACAGCTTGCAAAATAACATTTTTCATCGCTGCATTCTATGTGTAGATTTTCGAGTGTTCAGTACTAATTTGTTTTTTTCTTTGACCATTTTTACACTATTACTTCAAAGCACTGATCTCCTTGAGGTTGAAAATACTTGAGAGGAAATCACCTGCTTTATCACTAGAGGCAGAGACTGGTGGTAGAGCAGGAGGTTTGGATTTACATCCTTTCTCCCCCGGAAGGACATAGGAGAGGCGGTAGATTCCCTCATTCCATTACTATTTTTTCCTGGAAGCAGGTGACCGTTCAGTATTTTTCGTGTCTGTGGGAGCAGCGCTTGTACCCGTGCTGAGGAGGAGGAGCACTATGGAGCTGGAAGCTGTCTCTAGTTGCGTGTGGAACTGGTTTTCTGCTCCCATGGTTCCCCAGGACCATTCTCTGTTCTTCCCAGCCGCGCAGCTCGGTCGCGCTCCTCGTAGCCCTCCTCCTAGCCCTGCTGCCCACGCTGGCCCTTTGCTGGCCCTCCCGTGGGCACTGCCGTTGCTTGTGGCACCGCGGCCTGGTGCCAGCACTGCGACTTGCCAGCAGTTCTCCATGTGGCTTCCCCGATACCACTGAGACCACCAGGCGCGTGGAGCTCTGCCTCCAGCTCCGCGTGATTTCAGGAATGGTTCCCCATGTCGGAGTCTCTGTGGGCAGGGAAAGGCTTTGCAGAGTTTGTTTTTCCGTGATCCATCAGCCTTGTGCGGACTAGAGCAAACGTGGTTCCCCTTGCTAGAGCAGCACTAACCCAGGTGGCAGTAAGGTCACCCGCTGACAAGATGAAACATCAGCAATGACTGATGGGTTTCTGTGTCAGAGTGAGTCCTGTATAGTTCATCTGTCTCCTGCTAGGCCATACATAGTGCACTTACTGAAAAGATGAAGTGGCAACAATTACTGACAAAGCAGAAGACATCAGAGGCATGGCAACCAGCAGGAATGAACTGTGGGCCTCCCACACGCTGGATGCAAAGGATGACATAGGGGAGGTGATGACCTAATGGAAGTATTCCTGTTCCTCTCACTGCATCCCTCGTTATGCTGTGCAGATAGTCTCAGCATAACCCTGGCTCTGGGCTCAAGCAGAGAAGTGTAAATCAGGTGTCCATTACCTGCTAATAGAAGGAGGATTTGTGTGTTCAAGCCCTGCGTTTAGAAACAAAATATAACTGGTAATTGTGATATAACTCAGTTTTTACACTTATTTAAATTTAAATAAACTTGTTTCCAGAGAGCTTGTTTCCTCAGAGCATGAAAATGGGATTGACACACATCTGGTCTTAATTACTTGAAGATCTGTTGTGAAAAGAAATGTTTCTTTTGGACACTGAGGAATCTAAATGAAGAATAGCAGAGGATAGGTATAGCAGAGTAAAAGGTTTTTTTAAGAATTTATTCTTCAAAAGCTCTGCCAGCAGCCAGATGCAACACATCCTTTACCAGTGTGATATCACTCTTTATCTTTTCATCATTAAAGTTAGGACAGATTTTCAAGAATGAGGGCAAGAATGCGTGTTACTAAAGGTAAATGAAAGCAAAATCTTATACTTTCAGGTATGTATTAAATTTTCTGCCTCAAGGCAAATTTTTCTTCAGCAATCATAGACTGAAAATGAGCATCCAAGTCGTTTAGCTGCTCTGGACAGTAGCATTAGTGATAGACTCTGCAGAGAGGTGGCACAACCCTCCATTTAGTTCTAGTACTGTGCTAAGCAGTTGGTCAGGCCCATTTAACTGTTCTCTGCATGTGAAGGAGACATCAACCTTTCTAATACTGGCTGACACCTTTTAACTTCATTTAATTTAACACAAATTGATGGGTTCTCAGGCTTCAGTGAGAGTCTGATTTCATGAACTAGCATGGAGGTAAAAATCGTGCATAATAAAACAAGGGAGTTGAGGACATGGAGCACTTGGAACTGAAGCCAGTAACCTTTCTGCATTCCAGAAATACAATAACGACTGGTGGATAGGAAGGCTGGTTAAAGAGGGCTGCGAGATCGGCTTTATTCCAAGCCCCCTTAGACTGGAGAACATCCGCATTCAGCAAAAAAAGGTTCTTTCCATGGAGGGTGAGAATGCTGTAACCTTTTAAAGTAATTTAAAATCATTTCTGACACTGGTCAATATTTTCAAAGGTCACTTGCTGCCTTTTTATTGCATTGTATTTGGCTGAGTGTTTGGTTTGGGATTCCAAATGAAAAAACATATTTGCAGAGCACAGACACACCAAATGACTATGAGTAACAAGAAAAAAATGTCTCTTGGCTTTCGGAAAGATGAATTACACAGTGTAAGTAGTAACAACAGAAGTTCCTGACAGTCTAGAGAGTTTTAAGTCCCTACAGGGTTTAGTCAACTTGATGCTCAAAATCTACCAGATGTTTTCCCTGACTCTTGTATTCTTAAGATTGTGGGTGGTTTTTTTTTTTTTTTTCCATTTTGACTAAAACCAAACCTTTTGGATTTCACAGAGGTAAGCTTAGTGATTCTACTTCTCTTACTCTTCATCTCCCAACTTGTCTCTTTTTGTACTCCACTGCTGGAGGTGGAAATTGTAAGTCCCTTGATAAATAATCTCAGGCACAAGTCTAGAAAGCAAAATGGAATTTCTGCTAATCTCAGTTTGGATTTTGAAGCCTCTCTTTTATAGGCTGAGCACATGCAATGCATTTTACTACTAGCATATTATCCCCACTAGCTGAAAATGAAATCCAAGTGTTCAAAGAGACAGCAAGGAGAGCAAAGCCTTCAGCTGCCACAGAGTGAGGAAAGGCAAAGCAATTGGGTCTAGCCCTACTGGGTAGCAATAGGAGGAGCATAGGTTAGCCTATATAGTACTGCCAGGGAATTGGCATACTAATATACTTAATCAAGGTCAGGAATCGTTTTAAGGATAAGCCATCTGGGGAGATGTTCTCAGAATGATTGAACAGTGTTAATGCTGCTTTATCTAAATTGCTTTTACAGTTTTTGAAAGGATTTCAGAGGAAGTCAGTGCATCTCACTGAGATGTACACTAGAGAGTATTTACGGTACTGTTTCAGGTATGGCATGTTAGCAGACACGTTCTCTGCTTGCGTGAACCTCTGCTGAATCACCATCCTGGCTAGATTTATCATTTTGCATCTCACCTGTGGAGTAAATTGGGAATAAAATTAAGTAGGAACGAGAGGAGGGGAATAATGTAATAGAAAAAAATATATTAAATTTTTTCCATAATTTATATTAACAGTCCTGCATCTGTATGATAGCACTGAAAGCAATACATAAATAATGAATAGTTTATTCTTGAGCACTTTTGTTACATAAAACCATTTAGGATCTGTATCTTAAGAATTCTTTGAAAGCTTTTAGTAGCTGTATTATTCCAGCCATCTGTGATCACAAAGAATTCTAGCTTTGTCTGACTAAAGCAGTGAAAATTTTCTGTTAAAGTCCTGAGTCTTGGAACTTGGAAACTACCCTTAGCAGTTATTTGCAACATCATCTATGTTACAGCGGAACGATCTGGATGAGGTCACTAATCTGGTGTCCCTCTGTCCCTGCCCAGCGCCCTTCATCTCTCACTCCAGCAAAGCCCTCTCACAGCACACATGTGGGTGAAGACCTCCCTCCTTTCCTCTTCTAATTCCTCATGGGTGGGTAGGTCATGCCTGATACCTCACAAGTTAATGGGGCTCTTTGTGGTGCCCTAGGAAATCGAGTGGGAATTCTTCTTCGAGCCTCGGAGAAATGGTTTCTGGCACGTTTCGAGCCACCCCCACTTCTACTGGTAAGACAGCCTTTTATTTAAGGAAATTCTTGCTATTTCTAATCACTTTGTTTTGAAATCTGCATATGAAAAATGTGGGCTTCAGCCCCTTTGCCGGTATATTAAAATATTCCACTGAAAAGTGTTTGCATGTGGGAGTGGAGAAAAAGACATTTATTTCCAGATGCGTAGTAACTAGTAGGGGATTAGGGAAAAAAACTTGAGAAAAATGGCAGCTTCCCCCAAAATCAAGTAAGCGACCAATTAAAATAGAGCTGATCAGAAGGGGGATGCAGTGAGAGAAGTCAAACGTTCATAACCAAAGGACTATTTTCAAGTATTACTTGTATTATGCATACTGTATGTAACCAAATTCTCATTTGGTCTTTTAGCAAAACAGAAACAGAAAGTGGTAAGTATTTTTGTTTTCAATTTTTTTTTATTAATTGTAGTACATAGTTTCTAGGGTTTTCATCCTAGATGAGATGAAAAATTAATTAATGGGATATTTTCTTCCAGACAGAACATGTTCCTCCATATGATGTAGTACCATCAATGAGGCCTGTTGTCTTAGTGGGTCCCTCACTGAAAGGATATGAGGTACGTATTCCAGTTATTTGCAGTTATTTAACATCTTTTATCCGTGTTTAGTCATACTTTATTTGATCTGTGGTATTAGGTACAGCAATTTTAAGTGATCTGAGCTAATATAATAGCCAGAATATTATATATAAGGCCTAGAACATAGCTAGTACTTTGCACCTATTGGTTGAGGTACCAATGAATTTTATTCTACACTGCAACAGAACAGAATCTGCCTCCTGTTTGGGATGCCTAAGCTGAAAGGTAGGTAATGTAATTACACCAGGACTCTCTTTGCAGTTGCAGTTCTTTAAACATAGTGTGCATCCATGATTTTCAGTACATTTCTTACTTGATTTAAGCAGAAACAAAAGAGAATTGAGGTCCGCTACAGAAAAGGAGAAGGGAAAAAAAAAAAAAAAGCTACAAGGGTCAAATTAACTAGACTTCCGTATACAAGTACGATGGCAGTTAAACTAGTTCATACTTTGAATGTAAAAAAGACTTAAGCTCATCACTCTCTCATTATATCATTTATGAAAATTTTACATTTTCCTGCAAAACTTGGCGTTGACAGATGAAGTACTGAGACAATACCAGGATAGTCCCTTTATTCTCCAATACCAGAATTTTGGAACTGATCATTATCACTTCAGCACTTTCTTGACTTTTTTTTTTTTTTAATAGTATTACTGTATTAGAATGTACAGACAAGGAAGCCCATAGTCCAAAGAACACTTAATAGTTGCTAAACGTGAACTTAGGCTTTGTGCAGGACATTTTGGTGAATACCTGCATTTAACCATCTATTAAATGCTTTGCTGAACTAGGATCTAAATTAACATGAAAACTAAATTAACATAAAATCAAAGGCACAGTTCATTTAGTTTAATTAATTTTATGCGTTCTTTATAGGATATTGTTAAATGTGTTGGAATGGTTTTTAAGGTAATGAGTCCTAGGAAGATTGCAAAATAGTACTATTATTAGACTAATGCAGTGTTCTTGCATCAGATTTTTTGTTAAGAGTGATTAAATGTGTAGTTTAGCAAAGCAGGAATTGCGAATTTCATTTTCTACTATCTGCCTTTTATGATGATGTTTCTCAAAAGAAGCAAATTTCATCCATTGATTTTCATGGTACTGCAGCATCGATTAAGTTACCCTAGGGGCCTCCTAATTTGGGAGGAGAAGGGCTCTTTGTTAATATATGCCCATCTACAAATACCTCTTGCATAAGAAAATATACTAAATATGCCATTTTGGACATACAACAGCGCATAAAGTGCCCTTTTAAATGGTAATGGAGTTGGGATATTAATTTTAATTTAAAATAGTGGTCTGTGTAACAGAGACCTGATCTTACTTTGCAACATACATGGGAAATTTTTTTGACATTATTTTTTCTGACTAAATTCTGTAAGAAGCACTTAAAAAAACGAACACACACAGAGGAGAAATAAGCAGCCAAGAGGCCTCAGGGCTCTGACTGAGTTCGTGTCTAGACTGGCGGATAATAGACGTCACTCTGAGTTGTACCAAAAGGGACAGAGAGGGCACTCAGTAAAGCAGATTACAGCTATTGGAGCCAAGCATCCTCAGGTGTTTCCCCTTGCATAGGATAACATCCATTTTTTCTTTGCTTGTGGGGCTCGCTGAGAATGTTTCTGCTGCTGTTAAAACAGTATCAAACAAGGTAGATTTTGTATCTGAAGTTCTAAACCAATTCTAATAATGTAACTGGGGGGAAAAAACAAATGATCTGTTCTACCCGAATACTCCCCTAAGTTTGTAACATGTGCTCGAGCTGTTGGATGTGATGCTGTGATGGAAGTTCACGAGGAGTGTTTAATATCAGTGCAAATGAAGGCAAGAGTATCAGGAGTGACAACCCTCACATCCTCCATTCAGTGTTTTAGAGAATGAGTCAGAAACTTGCAAGTATTTATTAAAAAGCATGCTGCCAAGATCATGGAAACTGAATGATTGCTGCCTATAGAAGGTATTGGTTGTTGGCAGAATCCTTATCTTTTTATCTCTTTTCTTACTTTTGACTTCTTTTTCTTCCTGTCAATCCTTCCTGTTCAATCTCCCTCACCTCTGCAAAGGTGACAGACATGATGCAGAAAGCTCTCTTTGACTTCCTGAAGCACAGGTTTGATGGGAGGTGAGAAATACTGTCCTTTTCATGCTTTTCCCCCCATGTATTAATAACATTTTTAGAGACTTCTTTAATGCAAGAAGATTGATGCATGCTTAAAACTGATTCACCAGCTTTGTATCAACATTGAAATGCAGCCAATTCTGGGGTGAAACACAACTTATATATTTTATTTAAAAGTGCACGTATCTCTATTTCTGCTGTGTCTGTAGAAGGATTTTTAGGTTTGTCTGAATAATTTTGCCTCAGTATCTTTTTCAGACTGAAACTGTAGAAGTAACCTAGATGAAAGGTGGTGAGGGCAGCAGGAAGGAGCCATCCTGTCTTTAGAGATGGCACTGCCAGGCCTGGGCTTCTGATGCTGCCCTGCAGGGTCGGAGCGGGCCGGCTGCCTCTTGGCACGGCGCTCATGTCCTGCTGGGCCTGGGCCTGGCCCGGGCCTGGCCTGGGCCTCCAGGGTTCCCGAGTCTCTGCAGTGCACCGGAGCTGACTGCACAGCGGGTAGCTTGAGCAAATGGAGAACTTCTCAAGAGCTCCCCACTTCCTTCTGGGAACGTCATGGAGCAATCACAAAAGCAAAGCATGACTAATTGCAAATGCAGCTGCAGCTTTATTTGCAGTTCTCAGCGCATATAAAACTCTTCTTAAGCATTCATTCAATTGTGTGTGGCTGGGCTAGCCCAGCGAGCTGCTGAAGCCTACAGATACCAAATATAAATGTCTTCTGATTTTATTCTCAAGCTGCTGCGATTGGGCCTATTTCACCCCAGTACCTTTTGTCAAAGTGCAGGCTGCGCCACGACAGGCTGTTGTCTAAATAAAGCTAATCACACCCCAGCCCTGAAATAAGTATCAGAAGCAGAGCAGGTTTCAGCACTGTGCAGAAACGATGCTTCAGAGCAGTTTGCAAGAAAATCAGCTTTTAATTCGTAAATTCTTGCTAGTCAAAAATATTTTAAAAGGCAACTTGAAGAAGGAAATGCTAAAAGCTAAAATTGTAGGGGAAATGTGTCAGACCGTAAGAAGCTGTAAAGAGAATTCAACTTGTTAAGCTGGATCAAAAAAAAAAAAATCCCGAGGAATTGTGAGGAGGGATAAATGTTTGGATTTCTTCATGAAGAACATGCGCTTGATCCTCGTCTTCCGTTCCTTTCCACGGGAACCTGTTGATAGTTATAGGTATCAGTTGCACCTTGGGTTGTTCTGCCTCTTCTTCATCCTGGTTTGGTCAGTGCGTTGGAGCTGAATGTAGAGAAGCTGCTGCTGATGCATGAGAGTAAATCAGGCTTGAATATATCTAAGACATCAGCACTTGGGCAATAAAATAATATTGCTGTTCAGGAGAACTGGCGTAGGACTTGCAGGCAAAGTAGCTTTTGGGGTGCAATGAAATACTGAATGAACTAACAAAACAGCCAATGGTGGGCAACTTTGCAAAACATCTTGTCCCTTCCCCAATTTGTAGTTGCCCAGTTGAGGTGATTTTGGCCAGTTCTACAAAGGTAGTGATTGATTCGCGCCCGGGCAGACGGTGGTGCGTGCGGTTCACCTCGCCGTTTCTCCGCGCTGCTTGTGCGTCCCGTGAGCACATCCCCCCCTGCTCCCGGGCAGCCTCGCTGCTCCGGCCTCCCTCGGAGCAGACGTGTGGAGCAGCATCCCCCGCTCGGCGCCGCCGCGTGCGGAGCGCGTCCCTCGAGTCCCTGCGGAGGTGACCGGGGGCTCTGTTGAGCTCCCGACAACGGGATGGGGCAGAACTGTGCGTTTTAACCATGGAGGAGTTAAACGCCACGAGCAAGCTCATACAATAGCTTTTAAATCTGAATGACTTCAGAAAAATGAATTCAGTTCCATTTTAGGAACTTCAGCTGCTTCTTGACCTTCCTGCCAATTTCTATGGCATTGCAGTCTTCTTTTTCCCCCTCTTCCTTTCTTTCTATTTATTTTTCTCCCCTCTCTGCTGCAATTTTGTGACGGATGCACGTTTCCAAAGAGAGAAATGAGTGTCCAGGGACAACGAGCTCCTCAAAAGACTTCTCAGCAGGGCTTGAGCTGGCAGGACCCCTTCCCATCTCTTAACGTGCTTGGTCTCTGTGAGCTCCTCCTTTCCCATCTGTGGGAAGAATATAAGGAGACACATGTTGGATTTGTTGTCCTTCCTCTCTTGTACTTGGACTCCCAAGGGGCCCAGATCTAGAGCTTCTGGAGCCAGAGATGTGCTCAGACCGTGGGGTTTTCTGGCCACCTGTAGACCCATAACAGATGAATTTCTCCTGTTCCTTTTTTATCCCAATCATAGTTTGGCCTCCATTGTATCCTCTGCAAAAACTTATTTATGTGTTATGTGGAAAAATGCTTCTGCTCTTTTTAGCCCTCTACGTGATAATTTCATTGAGGGCTGCCAAAAGCTCGTGTTGTGGGCAATGCCTGCCAGTCCTTGCTTTCTTCTCATTATTCATAGCTCTTTGGATCCCATCACCACTCCTCAGTGGTTTCATGTGAAGTGAATGTGCGCTCTTTGTTTTATAATCCCATTTAAAGGGAAATACTCAGGCATGGAGGCCTGGAATTGCTTTGTTCCAGTCCTGATGCTCATGTACAAGCTCTAGGAAGGTGCTTACCGTGGGTCTCATCAGCTCCCTGACAGACTGGAAAACATTGCCTGCCCTAAGCTAAAGAGCAAAAAGAGCTAAAGAGCACAAATAGTTGTAGCTCAGCCTGCTTCTCCCCTAGCTGACCCTGAGCCGGTCATTTAGCCCTTAGACACAGCTCTGCGCCTGTAAAACGAGCGGCTGTTGGAGGACTGACCTCCCTGTTCGGTGGCTCCTGGGCGCTCAGAAATGAGACACGGGCTGCTCGGATACCCGGATGCTCCTTCCTTGCCTGTCAGCAATGTGGCTCAGTGTGCTGGGAGAAGAGGTGTGATACCCCTGTGACTCCTGTTCTCTCTACACCGAGACTCCCCTTAACCTGTGATATTTATGGTATTGTGTAAATTCCTATTGGGGACAGGTAAAATTAACTCACGATATTAACCGAGATGGCAGTAACTGTGCAAGCGTCTGCAATAACACAGACGATAGAGATGTGCTGGCAAATGTGCACAGTTCCACAGCATTCTCCTTGGTTGTGCTGTGATGCTGCTGTAACTGAGCCCTGGAGCATGCCCGAGCAGCGGTGCCGTGTCTGCACTCGGAGGGGAATGTAGCTCTGTGTCATGCACAGTGCCATGGAAATGACTGCTGTGTTTTGTTCTGTCCTGTGTTCTTGCTCATAGGATATCAATAACTAGAGTGACAGCTGACATTTCTCTTGCTAAGAGGTCTGTTCTAAATAATCCAAGCAAGAGGGCAATAATTGAACGGTCAAATACAAGATCCAGTTTAGGTAAGACATTGACACAGGTATAATTCTGAATATAGCTCCATGCTGGGAGAGAGCAGCAGGGTGGCAGCCTTAAAGATGTTATATAAATTCTTCAATTCTAAATGCATTTTACAGGATTTTTATGTGTAATGCTGAATTTCATGTACACTGTTGGGAGACAAAATTTATCTGTGGAATGGTCTGTTAGCCTCACACTCACACTAAGCAGTTACAAGGACTAGAACAAGCAGTTTTGTAGCTATTATCTGCAAAGGTGAGTTAGGGCATGTAGTCGGGAGAGGGAAATAGCAAGTTCAAAGCTTTCTCCTGGGTGTGATGTGGTCTCACAGCTGCTGATTCTCAGAGTGGTGCTCTGAACTTTGCACCACCAGCTGCTGCGGAGCCCTCACCCTGCCAAGCTGGGAAGGAAACGTGTTTTTGTTTCTGGCCCAGGGACTGGTTTTATAGTTCACACTGAGTAGCTGCTTCTTAGATTCCCAGTCCAGCTGAGGGAGCAGAAACTGGAGTATTGGTCTTCCCACTGTCAGGATTGCTGAGCTACACTGGCCTGATGAGGTTTTGCTTTATATTTTCCACTGAGGGGGAAATCTGTGTGCATGTATTTGCACAACAGTAGCGTGGTGTCTGGGATGTCATCGCAGGAGATAAAAGGCATTGGGTTTGGATCTCCTCAGGAGGGAAAGACACTTGAACCCAGTCCTTGACGTTCTGAGGGGGTGTTTGGGCTGTGGAAGTCGAGTGCTTTTTTAAGCCGTGGAAAACGTGGACTCGGCTCAGCTTTTAGGAGAAGGAGCCCAGCAGTTTACCTGCAGGAGGGACCCCAAATCCTGTCCAAGTGCCTGTCCTCAGGAAAACGATCGGAGAGAGGTCTAGCCTGCTCAGCTGGAAGGCATGTTCCCTCCTCCGTGCCCTGTGGGAATGCCGCATTCCCGCCCTCTCTACATGGGATAGGAGGTAGGATGTGCCACTCGTAGCTGGCAGGCTAATATGGGAACCAGCCATCCCAAAATTAGGTGCTGCCAAGGTGAGAGCAGGATCTGCTAGACCATGTCCCTTGGGCATGTGCACCTCTATGGGAGATGTACATAGGGGTAGAGTTTGTTCTAAGGGCTATTTCTGTTAAATCACTAGTACTACCAAGAGGACAAACTTAAGTTTAGAAGTAATCCTTATAGGGACATGTTAGGGGGGACTTCAAAACACCAAGGTGTTAGGTCTTAGCCAAAGACTTAAGGTAAATTTTAGTAAGCAGCCGTGTACTTCAGAACTTTCTGGAACAGCACTCAGGCAAATTAAGTGCATCTGAACTGTTGACGTACAACTTTCTTGAATGTTGTTGGTAAAACGTAGAGGCTTTAATTTGTGCTGACTTTATCCTTTTAAAATTCCTCACATCGATGTGCATGATTAAGAAGGATCAGAACAATGAATATCAGAAATGGCACTTACGTGGGAGTAAGTTTCTTACTTTTCTTTGTATAAAAATGTTTAGATGTGAGCATAGCCATTAGTGTCTTTTCAAATAATAATCTACCAGTTTTTATTGTAAGTTATGTAGAAGATTTGGAAAATATACTTGGGTGTATTTTGTTTTACTTGAAACATATATTTAATTGTACCAAATGGCTTGGTGACATTTATCTTAAAAGTCAGTATAGTAATTGCATATTTTCAGGCAGTAGAATGTTCTCCAAGATAGTAATTCTTTTAAAAAAATCATTGAGTAATAGATTATTTTGTGGAAGTTACAGTAATTCACATATGGAGTTCTTAAACTGAACATACACAGTCAACATAAATGGATGACTTTATTTTTGTGTAAATAATGCTCAGTTTGAATGACTTGGACACTTTTTTCCTCTCTTACTAGCTGAAGTACAGAGCGAAATTGAAAGAATCTTTGAGCTGGCCAGGTCCTTACAGCTGGTTGTGCTGGACGCAGACACGATCAACCACCCCGCACAACTTATCAAGACATCTCTAGCACCAATTATTGTCCATGTTAAAGTGTCTTCTCCAAAGGTAATCTCACCCCTAAACATGTGCATCCCAGAGGCAGAATAGGTTCTTTTTCCTTTCCAGCAATAGCTGCACTACAAGAAGCTTGAAGCTCAGATCCTTCTACAGCTTCGTCACTACTGCTTTATGTCTCCAGAAGTGCACGTACTGATGAGCAGGATCTGTCGTGTGGAGTTCATTTCTTTTCTCCAGTTTCCTTCTTTGGAGAGGAGGAGGAGTTGGTCATGTAACTGTTATTCCATAAAGCTGCTTTTGAGTTTTTCACTAGTGCTGCATTAAGCCCAGCGTGCAGGGAAGATGCTAATCAACACTCTGCAGTCCCTGTCTTTCCTTGAAACAGGTGTTGATTTTCCTCACTTTATCCTCTTTGTGAGCTCGCTCTCATATGGAGAGACCCCTTTAAAAGGAAGAGGAGTTCAGTCCTTGGCATCATGGTTAGTTCACACCACTGCCCACTGCACCAAATGTTTCAGAGGCCTTGTCAGTCCTTTAGTGGAGAAAACTCATTTCTCAAAAGAATGAAAACCAAATAAGTCATTTTTATTTCCTTAAGACAGTCATCCTAGCCTACCCAGGGAAGGATCCAGCACAAACGGAATTGCAGCGTGTAAAAAGCAACTAAAAACTCATGCAGCTCCCCAGGGGCGAGGGGTTCCCTCCCAGCACTGCCGGGTCCCAGCGCGGGGTCCCGCTGGCTGTGGCTTTACCAGTGTCACTGTCTGCTCCACCTGCAGCCAAAAAACACACGGCAGAAGGAAATATCTCACCTGGCCTGGGGCATGGGTGCTTTTTCACCATGATACATGGAGGTACCATGCCTTTTCTGTATCAAAAGTTTCATCTTTAACATAATACATACATACATCTTAAAATATTTTTAAAGCTGAGGTTGCATTAATGAATTACAACTCTATTTCTAGCCAAAGGAAATCCAGTAGGGCTAAGAAGTCTTAACAGTGTTCACTGGTGGCAAAGGTGCAAGGGTGTACCAGTATCTGTTTGGAAAAGTGATTTCATGGAATTCCCACAGAGTTCATATGAGAAAAGAACTTTGCTATATTGCAAATCCTTTCTTTTTTTGAGCGTGAGTGTGAACTTTTTTTTTTTAATAATGATGGCTATGAATGCATTTTTTTACATAATGGAGAGGGAGGAGCTGGAGGGGGGTCCGGGGCAGCCTCTGCTGCAGCACCAGGAGCTGCTGGAGGTTGAGATCCTGACAAGGGCAAAACAAGTAACTGCTCTGCAGCCCCGGGCTCCACAGCAGCCCTGTCCAGGGGTTGCTCAGCGGGATCCCCTCGGGTCTGCTCAGGACAGCCGGGAAGCTCCGGAGAGTTGGGCCTCTAGAGGTCCCTGCAGCTTAAAAGTGCTCCGTTGTTCTGTCATCCTCTAATTTCCTTAGAGAGTTTGCATAGAAATAATGCAGAATTCCTGTTTTTTCACACCTCTTAAATTCCAGTAATGAGCACAGTGGAAGAAAAATTACTGAGGTAATATGAACTGTGTGTGTTAAAATGATTTCTCTGCTCCGTATGTGCCTGTGAACAGACTGAGTGACTGCATTATTGCTACACAGCATAATGTGCTGTTACTGTTGTGCTGCAGTCAATACAGTGTAATTCTCTAATTTTCCTGGTCCTCTAGAAGATTACATTTGTCAAAAATAACCTATTACTTAAAGTGAAGTAAAGCAAAATCACTACCTGTGTTGCATTTGAATGTGTTGCAGAGAAATGTGCACAGCTTTCAGGGAGGTTACCAGAAATACATTTTTGCTTATATTTAAGGACAATATTTTATCCATTTAAATGTAATAGGCTTGGCTCCAGTAGCGTGTCAGTCTCTGAAAACTTTCTGGAGATGGGTGATCCTCGGACTCACATTTTCCTCTTTTCCTCTTTCAGGTTTTGCAGCGACTGATTAAATCTAGAGGAAAGTCCCAAAGTAAACACTTGAACGTGCAGTTGGTGGCAGCTGATAAACTTGCACAATGCCCACCAGTAAGTACGGAAGAAAGGCTAAAGAGCTGGAACACGTGGAGTGTTAGAGATACTTGTGGTGCTGGTCCTTGATTACAGCCGAGTTCACGTGTTATCACTTCACTTTGTGGTGATTCACACTGCCCTGCACTTGCAACCCGAGATCAGCTTTTATTGCTAAGAAAGCAAAAGAAGTTGGAAACCTTTTTGCTGATAATGTACTGGCTGAGCAGAACGTCAGCTCCAGCGTGGCTGGAGCGGGAACGCTGACACGCGGGCGGGAGCAGCGCGGCGGCCCCGGAGCTGGAGCCGGCCCGTCCCCGCGCGCCGCCTGCCGCGGCCTCGCCGCTCAGTGACACTGTGCGGC